TCCATCATGTTTAGATCTCCATATATTGTATTGTTTTTGTCTAATGCTCTCCTTCCCATCTCAAAGCCACATAATGACCCTGAAACCCTTTCGTTGTAACAGACATTATTGAAGGGGATTATGTGTCAAGTTCCTCTGCAATTCAACTGTGTGGCCTCCTTTTAAGGACAGATCTGTGAGCAAGAATAAATCTCTCTTTTTACAAAATAATACAAATTTCTAGCTCTCTCTCTCTCTCTCTCTCTCTCTCTCTCTGTGTGTGTGTGTGTGTGTATGTGTGTGTGGCATGTGTGTCTGTGGTGTGTGTGTACATGGTTATGTGCACACATACACATCTGTCAGAAATGGGCCTCAGGTGTTCTCTATGAGCCCTTTCTTATTTCTGTGAGATGGAATCTCTCACTGAATCTGGAGCGTCTCTCTCTCTCTTCTATTGGTGGCCAGCAAACCCCGGAGATCACTCTGTCTCTGCCCACTTCACCCCAAGCTCTGTTGTGACACATGCATGTGACCACACCCAACTTCTTATGTGGGTTCTGGGGATCTGGACTCAGGTCTTCTTGCTTGTGCAGCAAGAACTTTTGCCCACTGTGTCATCTTCTCAGAGCCCCCTATTTTCTTTAGAACTCACTTAGTGTGCTTAATGCTTTCACCTGTCAGCTTGATACAGCCTGGGGTCATCTAACAGAGTCTCAGTTGAGGGACTGGCATGCATCCATGTCTGTGAGGAATTGTCTGTGTGTGGTAGTTTGAATGTAATTGACCCCCATAAGCCCATAGGGAATGGCACCATTAGGAGGTGTGGTTTTGTTGCAATAAGTGTGGCCTTGTTGAAGGAAGTATGTCACCGTGGGGGTGGGATTTGAGGTATCAAATATGCTCAATCCATGCCCAGTGTGCCAGTTCACTTCCTGTTGCCCTTGGATGAAAACGTAGAATTCTCATCTCCTTCTCCTTGTCTGCCTGCATGTCACCATGTCACACCATGATGATAGTGAACTAAACCTCTGAATGGTAAGCCAGCCTAACTAAATGCTTTCCTTTATAGGAGGGGAGCAAGCCAGTAAATAGCATTCCTCCGTGGTCCATGCTTCAGTTCCTGCTTCTTGGTTCTTGTCTTGAGTTCCTTCCTTGTCTTCCCTCGGTAAAGGATTGTTACATGTAACAATGTAAGCTGAAATATAAACCTTTTACTTCCTTAAATTTCTTTTGGTTATGCTGTTTATCACAGCAGCAACAACAACAAAAGCAAAGGAGAACAGAAATTGGTACTTGGAGTGGGGTCTTGCTGTGATGGACCTGTCCTTGTGGCTTTTTATACCTTTGGACTAGCTGTTGGAGGATCCTGTCAGACAAGCTATGTATGTTGTAAATGGCAGAGCCAGAGAAATGGCAGAGCCAGAGAAGTTGAGCCGCCCTCTGGATCCCAGAAGATTATGAGTGAATTCCAAATATTGCACATTGAACCATTTACGCTATTTGATTTTTTTTCTTTGTTCTGGTTGCCATTAAATGAATAAAACATACTAGAAATCAATGATTAAAATTGTGTGTTAAGTATTTTATTAAAATAATGGACTGGAGAAATAGATCAGTTGCTAAAGGCTCAGGCTTAAACCTAAAGAGACAGGAATTCATTTAGTTCTCAGCACCCAGCACTGTCTCTTCAGCTTGTGTTCTAGCCTGAGTGAGGTGGCACACGCCTTTCATCCCAGAGCTCAGAAGGTAGAAGCAGGTGGACCTCTGAGTTTGAGGACAGACTGGTTGAGTTCCAGGGCAGCCAAGGCTACATTGACCCTGTTGCAAAAAACAAAACAAAAAAACAATATAAGAGTATTCTTTACAGCATAATAAAACCAGAAATTAAACCTAGCACCTTAGAAATTATAAAATCAAACATTTCTACAATAAAGCACACCAAATACACCTTATAGATTATAACTAAAACACCACTCATTGAAAACTGTAAAATATCTACTTTAATAAACAATGGTCAGGAGTCAGGTGTGGTGACTCATTTGTGTAATCCTAACAGTTAGGAGGTTGTGTTGATACCACAGACACAAGGAGGAAGACCAACTACTACAAATTATGGCCCGATTACAAAATGGAGTCAGAATGGTTCCTCAGTTGAGGCAGAGGGTCGCCACAAGTTTGAGGCATTTCTGAACTATACAGTGAGATTCTGTCTCCAAATATAAAGCATACCTCTAAATCAAAATAGAACAACAATCACAAAAACACCCTAAAAGAAAACATGAATTAGAGAAAGAGCATAGGGAAGTGGTATGGAGAGTAACCTGCAATGGGATGTCAGTCTGACCCAGCTAAGTTTTAGAGCATGTTTTTTTGAACATGCTATTGCTACATGTAAGAAGTAATAATTTACTCTCTTCTTAGAGTTTTCCCAGAAACAAAGAAAATTTACTGTTTAAATCAACTAAAATCTTTTTATTTGTTAGCAATTACAGTGAGTCTTTCGTGGATCCTGTTCTAAATGAAAAATGCCATTTAGTGGTGCTGTCATCCTTTATCTTTAAGTACTTATTATTCATCCTCTCGGGGTTTATTGCATTTCTTTCTTTTTCTTTACCCTCCACCAAGGATTTCTTCTGTTACAATTCATCTTAGGAGCGAGGATCTGGTGGCCTCTGAATCCCTCAACTGACTGTGAGCCTGACTTCAGGCATCTGGAGAATAGAAGCAGTAGGGCGTGGTTGCTCATATTTGTAATGCCACCATTTGAGGAACTGAAGCAGGAAGATTACTATAGGTCTGAGGACAGCTTGCCTAAGTAGTGAGTTCCAGGGCAGACTAGGCTATAGTAAAACTAATAAAAAACAAAACAACAACAACAAAAAAACTCCCCCCCCCAGCCGGACATTGGTGGTGCACATCTTTAGTCCCAGCACTCGGGAAGCAGAAGCAGGCAGATCTCTGTGAGTTCGAGGCCAGCCTGGTCTCGAACAGAGAAACCCTCTCTCAAAAAAAAAAAAAAAAAACGGAACCAAAAACTTTCCCCCCAAATTTCTTTAAAGAGAAAAAGGATGTTATAGGCCCCATGAGCTTGCTGAGTAAACAAAAATAAATTTAGAAGTTCTGCTCCTGCATCCTGCCTCCTGGGATTAAGACCTGTAACACCACAATTAATTTATGTGGTTTTAGCTTCCAGCATGCCAGGCAAAAACTCTACCAACTGAGACACACCTTCAGACAAAGGAAAGTTTATGTAATTGGTGTATTTGCCAAAATTGTAGAATCATCATTATTTATTTTTTTTTTGAGACAGGGTTTCTCTGTGGCTTTGGAGGCTGTCCTGAAACTAGCTCTTGTAGACCAGGCTGGTCTTGAACTCACAGAGATCTGCAGGCCTCTGCCTCCCGAGTGCTGGGATTAAAGGTGTGTGCCACCATCAGGGCTTGTAGACTCTTACTTAATGGTCAAATTGTAGAAGAATTAAAACAAAAGTCAATAATAATATATAGTATCCATTATTATTAATTAGCATTATGGTCAGCAATATACGCAATCAGGCAAGAAAGTGGAATAATGTATAAGACAGAACTCAGTATTCAGACACATATCTAAAAAGGATAGGGATAATACAATCAAATAGACCACAAAGACTCTTATATGTTGTCAGTGCACACTTAAAACACAGAGTATTTTTTTTTTGAAGTCCACTTGCACAAAAGGGGCACAAAAATCTACAAGATGCTAAAATAAAGGTGACACATTAGATGCAGACATAGCAATACTATTAATGAAAAGTAAGTTTCACTGGGGAGATTTTACAGATGAAAGAGTTGGCAGTATGTAGAGACCACCTAACCTCTGGACTTCCTGTGGAAGAAAGCACACTGATGAAGAATGAAATTATATTACTTACAGGAAAATGGAATTGGTATTCATGTTAAGCAAAGTAAGCCAGACAAATGCTGCATGCTTTCTCTCCCTTGGAATCTAGCCTTAAGTAAGTGCATGATCATGAATCAGAAGGAGACTATAGAGGGAGAGGAAGGGATATGGTGGCTTCCTTGACTGCATTTTGACTTTTAGTACCACAAATATTTTCTTACTGGTCCTATTAAAGGTCTACCATGATATCCTGTGTCTGAAAACAAAACAAAACAAAAAACCCAAATAAACAAACAAGGAATAAAGAAGAGATTGGACCAAGGTGATGTCTCAGTGCATCAAGGTACCTGCCACCGACAGAGTGACCTGAGTTTGATCCCTGGGACCCACATGGTGGAAGAACCAGTTCCCACAAGCTGTCCTTTAATCTTCATCTATGCCCTAGCATGTGTACTGACTACTTTTATGTCATCTTAACACAGACTATAGTCATCAGAGAGGAAGCCAGTAGAGGAAATGCCTCCATGAGAGTCTGCTATAAGGCATTTTTCTTAATTGGCGATCAATGGGGGAGGGCCCAGCCCACCGTGGGTGGTTCCATCCCTGGGCTGGTGATCCTGGGTTCTGTTAAGACAACAGGCTGAGCAAGCCATGGGAAGAAAGCTAGCAAGCCAGGTGCTGCTTACAGAATCAGCCCCTGCCTCCAGGTTCCTGCCCTGCATGAGTTCCCACCCTCATTGCATTCTTTCCTCCCCAAGGTGCTTTGCTCATGGTATTTATCAGAGCAGTAGTAACCCTGAGTAGGACACATAGACATGTATGTACACACACACACACACACACACAGAGAGAGAGAGAGAGAGAGAGAGAGAGAGAGAGAGAGAGAGAGAGAACACAAGATTTATAAGCATTTTTTAGGAAAGAAAGAGGATGACAAGGATAGAGTGTGGGGGGGAGGTATTCACACACGGAAGTTAGTAGAGGACACTGTATCTTGCCTTATGCTGTGGTCTGAATGTGAAAAGTCTCCTACAAGCAGCTCATGTGTTTGAGCATTTGCTTTCCAGCTGGGGTGCTATTTGATTAGTTTGGAGCCTTTAAGAGGCAGAGCCTGGTGGAGGAAGTGGGTCACTGGAACAGGCTTTGAGACATCATAGCATGGTGTGGCTTCCTGTTCATTTTCTCTGCTCCCTTGCTGCTGATGTGCTGTGATCGGCCGGCTTCCTGCCCCTGACACCAAGTCTCCTGAGCCACGGTGGAATATAGATCTTCAGACCGTAAGCCAGAATAAACCTTATTTTCTGTGAGCTGCTTTTGTCAGGGTATTTTATCCCAGCAGCAGAGAAAGTAAATACAGGTTGTGCTCATGAAAATGAAAGCAACTAAGCAAATCCTTGGTCTGCCAAGTCATGGCCAGTGCCTTCTGTAAAGGGAAGGAGCAGGATGCTAGAGCTGGGCAATTGTGACTATAGATAAGAGCATGACCTTTGTGTCATAATCACTAAGGAGACTGTAAGGGGTGGAGTGGTATCAAGAGACAACTGTAAAAATAACTACTCAGAGTTGAGTAGCCTGGGGATTGACAGAACTCCAGAGGGACCATTGTTGGACATTTTACATGCTCATGACAAAGAGTTCTTTTTATCTTATTATGAATAGTCAAATGTGGTGTCTACTACACTAAGGATATTCCTCCTAGATATCGTCCAATGAAAGAGTGTGTCTGGTCTTAAAAGATTCAACATGGCCAGGAATGGTGGTATATGCTTTTAATCTGCCCACTCAATAGGTTGAGGCAGGATGTCTACTTTGAGGCTAACAGGGGC